ATATATATATATATATATATATATATATATATATATATATATATAGTGAAAAAAGTTGGCTTCAAATGTATTTACATACTATTTGAATAAAGTGTATAGGAAAAATGTATGAATTAATCTAATTTCAATTTAATAAAGCTAAGCCGTGATTATATTTTGTAGTCGTTTGCAAAATAAGCAATAGTTAGATTTACTTAGTGGTAGTATCTTTGTTTCTAACTTTATCTATTTAAAAGTAAATCTGTGCTTACATCTTGCTTCGTCTTAAAATAGCAAAGCATTTTTTGTGCTTTTTGTGCTCAAAAAGCAATGAATGCTATATGAACTGGATGTAAATAAAAATTTAAAGAGCTAGAAAAAAGAGCAGATATTTAATATTTCAGTACTTTCCATCTTTGTCAATATATCACAACTTTCATTCACTCTCAGCAATAGGTACACTGACAGAAAAGGGAATGTTTCGTTACGTATATAAGCTTTAGCTAAATTACACATATTTGGCTCAGATTTCCAGCCAAAAAACTTATCTAGCACTTAATACTACTATTCAAACAATATGAATCTTTTGCAATTTTTTCTTGATTATTTTAATTTCCATCTTCCCTTGTGATCTAACGCTTTGTGCTCGTAGAATGCTATGGAAAAATGTGCTACTGCTGCAACAACAGTAAATTCTATTGAAGTTTTAATTGATTTTACTCGACCTGATGGTCAACGAACTCGACCGCTTCTCGTTGATGGCAAACGGTTGTATGTAGATGAGCATTATATTTCCGTCTGGTCTCCTGTTTTACGGTTTCTTTTTCAGTTTGTTATTTCAAATTACTAGAAATATTTGCTAAAAGTAAACAATTACACAATTCTTAGTGAATAATACTTTTCTCCAATAATTTTTCGAAGTAACAAAAATTTCATTTCAGTCTCGTGCAAAGTATTGCAAAAAGTTATATTGAAAAACATAGAATTACAATTAATTTAGGTGTAAATGATAAAAAAATAAAAAGATGTCTGATGGAGAAGATTGCAAAGTATAAGTAATGGGAAAAACAGAAGAAAAGAAATGTTTGAGAGCAAAATATAAAATATTCAGAAGTGAGCAAAATCCTTTTGGTCTTCATCAAACACAGCTATGTATTGCTTAGAAAATATAGCATTGAAAATATGTTGTGTTATTTGATGAGAGAAGAATTCCTTCCAAGATATCTTAGGGGATATAGGAGTACTGTCTGATAATTTGCTACTTTTTATGTAATAAATTATACACAAAATGGTACATGTTTTAAGAAAATGTGTTTTTAATCAAAGAGAATTTGGAAAGAAAATATATTTTTATTAACACTAATGCTAAATGAGATTGAAATCTCAAACTATATTATTTGAACTTTCCTACTTGCAAAATTTAGGTTTCATAAATTTGATCAGAATTAGTATGGCTTTACTAATACTGAAAAATGATTTTAGAGCATGGTGTGTAGAATGTCCTGATCGAGAGCTAATTCTTGCAAATGTGCAGTATGATCACGTTCTGGAAATGCTTCAGTGTATTCATCCAACTTATAAGGAAGTTGATGATCAGTCTGTTCATATTTTATTACCACTTGCTTTTGACTATCAGGTTTGATATTCCTTTAAATATTAGTGGTGCAAAATTTTTTCATAATTTATATTAATGTACGTATTTCATTTTGACCTTATACCAGTGGATCTTTTATATGATAGGACTTTTTCAAGCTGTTATCTGACGCATAGCCTTTTGTCTTTCTTTTCTTTCAAAGCAATACGTTGTGTTTTTATTTGGGCGGTTTTTTCAGGTTATAATGAGAACAAAAACCGAAAATTATTATATCTAATACTAAAAAACGCAATGAATGTTCTTCATTTTTAATGTTCAGTAGTTTTAATGTTAAATTCTGCTTTTTTCTTTTTCCAATAGATGGATGGTCTTCTGCATCGCTGTGAATGTTTTCTGGTGCAGCATAAATTGCCGTTCTTGGAAAAAGTATGGCTTGCTGATAGGTATATTCTTTTTTTAAATTTACATGTATGTATTAATTCTTGGATGCATACATTCATTTATTTAAAATATTTATCTTGATAAAGGGCTAGTTATTCATGTAGTCAGGATATTATTCAATAACGCATAGCACTTCATTATTTCATAAGCAACAGTGTGAAGAAAAGTAATAGTTTTTAGGGTGCATAGATTGGGTAAGATGTTATGTGCTATGATTTAAAGCAAATAAACGCGATCGAATAATAGTACTTATTTATGTCACTGTAGTAATATGTTAATGACAAGTCTTAAATACATCTAAATTATCATTTATCACGCACAATCTGCAAAAAAAGAACAGGTCTATGTTACTAGGTTAACTAATTTACTATTGAAAAATCGAAATGCTATTATATATATAGTTTTAGGCAAATAATCAATTCATGCTATAATATTAATGCTATGCTGATTTACTATTATCACAAGAATCACAAATTCCTACTATCTCTCGAATGGTTTATCTCAAACGTTTTAATTCAAGCTTATGTATATATTTTGTATTTTAGATATAAATTAAATCGCTTATTGGTTTTGTGCTTGCGAGAAATGAGGCCTAATTCTAAGATTGATCTTACGGGTAGTCGGTACTATGGCTTAAGTGATCGTGTCAAAGTATTACTTTTAGAAAGGCTTCATGGTTCTGCTGCACCTGAGGTAGAAATTTTGTTCTAAGAATTCGAATATAAAGAAGAACTAACTTGGTTAATTATTATTCTAAATAAGTGTTTTTACATTTCATAAACTTGAAAATACTGAATTAATTAATTTAGGAAATGTTAGAACAACCCACTGACTTGGATCAGATTCATCGTCCCACTGAACTTAATTTTGCAACAATCCGAGCTAAAACAGGTCGTGTCTATTACATCAACCCGTATTATATTGTTGCATGGTCGAATATTTTCCTGGTAAATGATTCAGTAGACTTTTTCCAGTCATTGAGGATAAATTTCTTTCCAGTAAAACTTTTACAACATGAGCGGAAATTCTTATTTTGAAAAGCGGTTGTTGAAAGCATTCATAGATACCCTTGTAACTTTTATTCTGTCTGTGGTAAAGTTAAAATGATTATATTAGATTAGATTAGTAGCTAAATACGAGTGATTGCTACAAAACTTTTCTCTTTTTTTGAGTTTATTTTTAATTTAAACTGCAATATTTAGGAACGAATATCATCAGTGAATGGCATGGACGAAATGTTTTCGCCATGCACTCATGAAGAGCTGAAAGCATTTTTAATGGCTGTCTACCCACCACAGCTTAGGATAACAGGTCGTTTTTACAGTTTTATTTTACATTTTTAGCAAATTGTTGTGTGGGAAAATGAAAGATACGATTAACACGATTAATTGACGAACATATAGCATTCGTAATTTTCTAGACTATACTGGAATTTAGATTGATTTTTTGTTTTGCTAAAAAATTCATTTCTTCTTGAACTTCAAAATAGAACTAGTTTTTGTTATTATTGTGAGGTGGAATTAATCAAATAATTATGTGCATTTTTAGAAGCAAATATAGGACCAGTATTGATGGCGGCATGTAAAATGGAATCACCTGGTTTGTTGAGGAAATGTGCTATGTTACTTCTTGCACCTTATACTCAAGTTTGCAGTATTCTTTCAACTTTCACTGCTTCTACTAAGTTTTGTGTTTGTGCTAGCTGATATGAAGTCAAAGAAACTATTTTGTGTAATAATAATATATTCAGAACTATTATCAACAATTTGATGGATAAGTTTCAAACGCATATTAAAATCAAACTGAATTACTCTGCTTATTACAAGCTGAAAAATATCAATTTTCGCGTCATTAAATTATTATTTATTTATTTTGACTTCTTGCTCATATTTTGTATTTTTGTCCTCTTACGTCACATCGTTAGTAAATTCTAATCCTTCTCTAAATCAGTTTTGCAATTTAAGCTGTCGGTCTTTGTAAGACTATCATTATTGGATCGATGTTTTCTGTATCAGTTGCTTGAGCCCTGTCTCAAAATGCTGCAACGACCTGAGCATTTATTAGAAATGACTCAACAACAAACTTGTAAACTTTTGCTTCTTTTTATTTTATGATGATTTCATGGTAGTTATTGGCATTTATTGTTGATTATGTTGCTACAAATTGATGCTAACATATGCTGAAGAAAAATTTTGAAACTTTTGAAAATTGACCAAGTTTGCATAGTTTTTAAATTGAGAAATGATAGTTTGCTGTTGCAGACGAATGTTTATCAGTTCGAGCTCGTGCCGCAATGTTAGATCGTTTGACCACGCTACTCAGGAATCCGGGCATTCAATTACATTCCTGCCATAGGTAATCAGCATATCAATCATACAAAAACTTTGAGCAGTCTTTATGTAAGATTATTGAAGTTAATTTTTTTTTGCTCATATTTGTACTTTGTTTTATGTATTGAATGCTTTTTAATCTTAGCTGAAGATGAATTTATATTATCACTTCATCCTTGGAAGAATGAAATTTCTTCGAGAGCCAGTTTTTCATTTATTCGAGTGTGACAATTTTCGCACTAATATTATTTTTATAACACTTACTCATGCTACTTATTCATTACTATTTCGGAAGTGATAACCAGAAGATTTTAAATATTATTTTATGGTTTTAGTAGTTCGAAAAACATTTGAGATTTTTAAAGGTTGGTGGTGTAACTAAGATAGATTTTTGTGTTCTAAACGGATAGTTAATCACAAGAAGAGTTTCCATTCACTTCTTATATCGTTACTATTGTATTGGTTTTTGCAAATTTTTGTTTCCTTTTTTCAAGCCGTATTGAAATTATGCGCTTCTGCAGAAGTACTGAGCTAAAGAATTCAATTTAATGTTCCGGAAACCGATTTTTCATTGATTTCAAATGAATAAAGAAATTTCAGATGTAAACAATTTAGTGGATGTACACAAGTAACTTGGATGTGCCCTCATTGTAACACATATTCCAGTGATGCATCTTTACCGAAGAAATTGGCAGAAAGTGAAATATCCTGTATAAAACGGTAAAATAAGCAGTTTGGTCATGATACATTTATATTTTTACAAAAATGAATTAAAAATTGAGATTTAGAATGAAAAAAGTGGAAAGACGAAAGTTATTCTGCTGCTTTTTCTGGGTCTTTAGAGCTAATATTTATTCCATGTCCGGATGAAAACTAAAATTATGAAAGTTTAAAATGATAAAATACCTCTGCTTGTTTTGAACCATTTCATCATTTTTGTGTATTTTTTATTTTCAAATTGATTAATAGAAATTCAAGGAATTACTCGATTAGACTGCCATTACTTCAAGTGAAAAACATGAATTAAATAAAACTTACAGTTTGCATTTCTACAGTATAAAAGATGTGCTAAAAATTAGTGAGTTTGAAGTCTCATTTCGCATCGACTTGTACTATTTATATAGAAATTTTGAGCTACTAAATGAATAACTTTGTATTATCAAGTTGCAGCATAGCAGTGAAACTTTTTCACAAATAATAGCGATCATAATTGATAAGAACAGTCGTACCCAAAACAGTTGCTTAGCAACAACGACACTATTGAATTGTGTTTAAGCAGAATAATGAGCAATCAGAGACAAAAAAGAGTCTCCCATTTCTTACTTTCCGAGAGATTTCTGGAAACAGAAGAAAATCAGAAACTTAAACTTAATTTACAATACTAATTCTGTACCTGACATGTGCATAATGACAGTAAATATATCAGAATGCAGTACCTGACATTTGTTATAGCAAATTTAATAGTGTTATAATAATTATGATAGCACTACTAAGAATGCTATAATTTCGTTGCAAAGAGCGTTTCTTCTATGAGTTTTGACTCCTCTCCCTTAAGCAATAAGAAATGCTACAAATGCCTAGATGGGACATCAACGAAAACGTAACGTTATGCGTACGCTCTTCGTGATTTTTTCCGGTATTTACGTATAAAATTACTACTTTCTGTTAAATGCAAATTTATAACAGAAACTATGTTCTCTTGAAAAAGCTTTCCACTAACAACAATTATTCTAATAGCAGAGTGAACCGGATTTCATTTATCAAAGAAGTTGGTAACCATAGATCAATGAGTTTCAAAATATAGCAAAATAATATTAATAAAAGGAAATAAATAGCTAAGTAAGGTTTTTAAAACTTAATCAGTAAGTAGTAGGGCATTTAATGACTCTCGAAAGAACAAATTAAGCGTTGAAGCAGCTTACAACTAGGAATCAGTATAATGTTTCACGTTTTCTCCTAAAATTTTTTATTATTTTCAGTTGATATCAAATGACAAACTTCAGAATATTCAAAAATTTGAATTTAGGGTAAATTCGGAAAGTTTAGAAATCATCATGCAAAAGTAGTCATGTCAGAATAAAAGACCGGCGAAACAAGGAGTCATGTTAAAAGATCATCGAGACTTAAAAGTCTAAAGAGAAACAGCAGTTCGTAGACCTTGTTTTTTGGAATTTTTGAATCAAATTAACTTTTTTTCAAATTTATTTCACTTCGAAGAAACTTTTCGAAAAATTGTTGACTGAATTTTGCCGATCCGATTTGAATTGTATGCGACTCGTGATAGAGATATTAACCATTACATATGTGCAATCAATCATTCAACTAGTAAAGATCATTTTATTAATTCCACCATGTCTTAATATTTTTACTAGAAGTCAATAAAGTATCACGACCAGAAGTCGATGGCAAATCAGTAATAGCGTATTCTTCATCTGCTTCGTCACGTAGCAGGTAACCCTTTTTGTAAGCATTTCGTATGCGCCAAATATCAGTAAAGATATTCTCTGGGAAATTCAAAATACCCACATGTGACTGAAATATAGATTTGATTTCTTCAGCTATCAGTGACAGAAATAAATTTGAAGCAATCAGAAGGATCGCCAATAAATTCCTGCAGAAAATTGAATAAAGTTAAATTATAAAGCAGTTGAATTTTATAGCATAAAATTAAGCCGTGAAAAGATTTCGGCACTTTTTTTAGTGCGTTACAGAATCGAGGAAAATTCGTGGATGATGCAGCGAGTTGCCATATTGTATTTGCAATGTCATCGTCGTGCAAGCAGAAGTATAAATCGATTACATCGTTTATTTTATTGATAATCGTTTCATTTAAAGGTTCCTAAACAGAATCATGTAATAACGGCAAAATACAGATTTACAGAGCAAGTAAAAGACTTCTTCAATAATCGATTGATGTGAAAAGCATAAGTTCTAAAATTTTTTACACACATAATGCAGCAGTACTCACTGGCAGCATGACCACTCTCCCATCGGATTTGAAACGAATTGCAGTTCTTCGTTTTCTTAATATTAAAGGAGGGTTTCCACAAAAGGAAACGCTAAATCTAATATGTCTTGGCTCAACTACTTGCATAGTGAACCTGAAATCAACTTACTCTGAAATGAAATTTCCGCTTGTCTTCGAAGAAATCTTATAGATTGCAGATTTATCAGCAAAGGAAGATATTATTATTATTATTAACAAATGCTATCTTGCAGAACAGAAATTTGTACAGATATACTGACGTTAAACCGATAGGTAGTAACTGCAAATAGTGCACAACATCAAAGTGTCGTCGTCCAACCATACTGAGGTTATTAATTTTTTCGATGCAATCACCGACCTATAAATTGTATCAGTGTTACTGCGAATCAAATTGTAATCACAAGATTATGTTTAAAAATTTAAATGTTACCCGAAGGAAAGGGTTTTTCTCGAAAGTAAGAGCACCGGGGACGATTCGCTTGATGAATGCTTTTCCAATTCCATTGTCAGCGATGGTTAAGCCGAGCTTTCTGAAAGTGTATTTGTATATGATTTCTGCGCAGTTCCTACTTTCATTGTAGGTTTAGTTAGCTTTTATCAAAACATACGGACTGGTCTTGACCAACGTAACTTCCTTCTTTTGACCTGCGATGTGCGCAAAAATACAGTCATCGTTAAAAATGTTGTAGCTCATGAGGGCATCCATACGTATTCGATGTGTATTCACTGTGCAGAATAAGATATCATCCACTTTTACCTGGTCATAGTTACGTGCTATCAGCTGCAAATCTCACATAATTATTAGAATTGCTAACAAAGAAATTTCATATTTCAAGTATTATTGTTCACACAGTTTATTTCTGATTTTTAGAATGTAATTATCGCATAAATCACTTACCAGCAACCTTTCAGAAAAGCTTACGACGATATCTATGTTACAGTTCCTGATTAAACGAATTCATACGTAATTCTGAGTGATCTACTGTGTGTTTGACGTGATTTCATGAGGGAAAGGAAGAAAATACCTCGTATAACTGCTTGATATTCAGGAATCCAGAAACGATGCGAATCGCACTACCATGAGCCAGCTGTACCTGTAGCTTGAAATTGTGGCCTTCCTCGAGCAACGGTGGGATCAAATGCCTTGTCATTAACCTCTCGCCATTGCTGTCATTTTCTCCTTTATTATCTTCTCTATAGCATGATTCTGCAAAAGGGCCTGATCAACCAATCAATTCAGTGATCAGATAAGGTAAGGATTTTACTAATTTTATTCGGAGAATGAATCAGACACTACTAAAAGATTTTTTTATATTCATTTTTCTTACCTGTCGGCTTGACGGGTACCTTATTTTCCAGTGCTTGTACTGGATATGGATTCACACGTATAGCTCTGGTACAAGCAGTCAATGGATGAAGTCGTCCCGATTCACTCTGTCTCGATCTTTCACGATATGAAGATGACAGCCCTTCTTGAGGATACGGATTTACAGATTTTAATCTGTACTCTTGCAAATTTGACGAACTTAAGTTTTGCATTCTATTGTTTCCGTTCATAATCTGTCGTAACTGTCTATAAGACAAATGGTATTTATGAATGCATAATAAGCTCTTATTTTCAAATAAATTTTATTCCTAACTTACTAGTTGCAAAATAACGACAACAAAGGAAGGCAAGTGGAATCAGATAATGTCTATCTGAGAAGTAACGCAAGTATTCATCATGAAAACTCATTGCGAACCTAAAAGGCCTCTTACCCATGTTTAGCGAGTAATTTAAAAAATCGGAAGTTTTTGCTAACGCTAAAAATACCGTCAGCATTGTATGGAACGGCAACTGGTAAAAAGGCTTACTCAAAGTGCCACTTTTCCAACCAGAGGACCACACGAATCAAGCACAATAACGAACATGGCATGACTCCGCCTATCCGAGACTTTATATTTCTTGTTAGCCATGCAAATTTGTACAAATGTGACTAACTTGCAAATATGCAGATATGCAAATGAAGGGTAGGTGAGTCAAGAAGCCAGTCAGTCATTTAGATGATTGTTGATAAATAAAGATATGTATATATATGCAAATTTTCATGTATATGATTTTATGCATATGCAAATTTTTTTTGCAAGCCAACTATTCACACAGAAAATAAGAAACAGGACTAGTCATTTACAAGACAGCTTTTGAAGGAAATGATTCACTACAGCTAAGCAAATCTTTAAATGTAATAACTGTGATTTACTGTCAATAATTCTAAGCAGTTAAGAAATTTACAACGAAAATAAATGAACAGTAAACAACACATTTAATAATGAATAATCAATAATCACATTGTGTATGATAATAAATTCG